AGCAAGCAAGCAAAGAGATATTTTGATAATTATTTTACATAAAAGATTAATATATATTTATATACTCTGTTGAATAGTTTCATTGAATAATTTAATTAATAAATTATTTCTTCGTCACATAGCCTCCTCCTATAAAGAGCATCGACCCGATGCTCAGAAGGAGACTTACATCCTCAGTCTCAAGGCTCGAGAACGGGTGATAGGGCCTGAGATCTCTACGCGGGTCTGTGGTTGTTGTGTTCGTTCAGTGGGGATGTCTTCTTCCTGGAAGTTTGTCGAGTCATCTTCTGGGTCCTCTTCTAGGTGGTCCTCCTGGTCCTCTGGGTTTAAATATGGTTTCATCCTACAAATGTGAACTAAATCTTTTGTTTTACTACGACCTTGCTGGTTTCCGAATGTTTCAACTTCATAGGTCACATCAGATATTTTTCGGGTTACTTTGTATGGGCCGAAGTAATGTCTCATTAGTTTTTCCTAACAGGAACGGCGAGGCGACTGGCTGGGTCTTCTCTCAGGAGACTAATGTTGTCCTTTTCGGCCAGTGTAAGGAGAGGGGCTTCGGTAGCGGCGTATATTTTCTCTTGGCAGGTCGTCGTTGGGCTCTTGGCTGCTCCGAGAATTATAGATTGTTCTAGGCTCTTGCCTATATCTCTGTTTGTAATTCCAAGTTTGTTCTCCTTCATATTCTCTCCTCCTGTCACGGCAGTAGCGCACGACGTGGCCAGGGCGTCCGCAGTGGAAACAGATTGGCTTACCTTCAGTGGTTCGCCATTCGTTGGTATCGCGTCTTCCGTTTACTTGTTTCGGCTGCTGCGGTCTAGGTTGAAAATTTCTGGGTTGGAACTCGTACCTAGGGCTTGGTAATGGTCTTTGCGCTCTATTTTGAGGGAAACTTCTAGAAATTGGCGCAATGGTTTTTCCAATTTCTTGCTGCACCATATGTTTAATTGCAGAAATTTCTGGTTCTTCTCGAGGAGAGGCTAATGCTCGCTGTACCTCCTCACGAACCATTTGCCTAATCATAGATGACAGATCTGCCCTGTCATCATGATCACGGAGAGACGCCACATTTGGTAGGCGCTCGTATCTGGTTGGGGTAACTCGCCTACAACGGAGCGCCTCAACACGGCGACATTCTGTAATAAATTGCTCGGTGCTCTGTACATCCCTCGGTAGGAGTGCTTGATAAAGCTCCTCAGCTATCCCCTTCATGAGGTGGGAGATTTTATCTTCCTCGCTCATTTGAGGATCAACCTCTTTGCACAAGCACAGGACATCCTGGATGTAAAATTCGGTACTTTCACCTTTTAATTGTGCCCGTGTTTTAAGTTTCTTCTCCGCTTGCAATTTTGAATTTTCTTTTTTTCCGAACACATTCTCTAATTGAGATGTGAATTCCTTCCAAGTCTGTATGCTTTCTTCGTTGTTCTCGAACCATTTGAGAGCAGTTCCAGACAGATAAAAATAAACTTTAGTAAGACAAAGGGTTTCGTCCCAATGGTTGTACTTTGCCACACGTGCATACCCTTTTAACCATTTTTGAAGATCTTCACCATCCTCCCCGGAGAAAATGGAAGGGTTCCTTGGCAAATGTTGAACAACGTAGTTGCTTACCTGAGCACCTTCCTTCTTTACATTCATAGAAGTTTCTTCTGGTTCAACAGAATCAATTTTTCTTTTATTTCTTAATGGGTATCGGTCCAGTCTCTCCACCAGTTGTAGCGTAGAAATCAAGCCTTGAAATATCCTAAGATGTAAAAGTATTTATTGATGACGTCACGGCGACAAGTCGACAATTATTAACAAGTCAGCAAAAACTATTTACAGCTAGAGAATCTTGAGCAAGCAAGCAAAGAGATATTTTGATAATTATTTTACATAAAAGATTAATATATATTTATATACTCTGTTGAATAGTTTCATTGAATAATTTAATTAATAAATTATTTCTTCGTCACAATATTATTTGAGAAAGATGTTCTATAATACTCTTATACCTTTTCAAAATATAATTTATAATTTAACACAAATAAAATTACTGGCAATGCGTTTCTTTTTAAATCTCTACAGACCTTACTGCAATGATATGATTTAATGAATGAGAGGGCTTGGCTCATCAGTAGTGAACCCTCTCAGCGGTTTCGCCAAATTAATCTCTAGACCGCTCTACTATTGTATTGGACTGGTTTTGTTATATACCCTGCATTATCTATGGAAGGCAGCTAAATGGTGTTTAGTGAACTATGGACATAAGCTTATAGGTCTGTAGAGGTACATACATATAAATTTCAAGGTATTGCATCGAGCAAAGCTCTTCCGCGCAAAACATGTTTTCATAACCATTATATATTAGTAAATTAAATTTTATTGCCCTCTATCGTTAAAATTTAACACAAATAAAATTACTGGCAATGCGTTTCTTTTTAAATCTCTACTGCTCGATGCAATACCTTGAAATTTATATTTATGTACCTCTACAGACCTATAAGCTTATGTCCATAGTTCACTAAACACCATTTAGCTGCCTTCCATAGATAATGCAGGGTATATAACAAAACCAGTCCAATACAATAGTAGAGCGGTCTAGAGATTAATTTGGCGAAACCGCTGAGAGGGTTCACTACTGATGAGCCAAGCCCTCTCATTCATTAAATCATATCATTGCAGTAAGGTCTGTAGAGATTTAAAAAGAAACGCATTGCCAGTAATTTTATTTGTGTTAAATTTTAACGATAGAGGGCAATAAAATTTAATTTAATAATTTATAATGTTTTACCTAGGGGATTTGGTTTAATTTTTAAACAATACATAGGTTTATATATAAACATGTATGCTAATGATAAGAAAAACCTATTATCAAATGACTTCTTTTGATATTCAGCATTACTGTAAAGTAATAGGTCAATTTAGGGAATTAAAACAAAGTGACCAATATTAAATGGCTGCCTTTTCCTGTATGTATGGCTGTTTTTTAATTATAAGGTCTACAAATTTAGAAAAGTTAAAAAAATGGCCAAACCGTGGCTATAGTGAACCGTGGCTATAGTGAACCAAAAGCTCTGTCCCATTGGGGTTCACTATAGAGGGGTTTTACTGTATTTGTAAACTAGAGACTGTATTCTTTTGGCTGCAAGCAAAAATTATATCTATATTTTATTTTTAAAGTATTTTATTCATTGTAAAATATTGGGGTCTACGAGACCCCGCGCGAGTACTAACGTCAGTAAAATTGGCGCGAGTAACTAAGGGTTAAACGTGTTTTTTTACTCTTGAAATCTTTTTTTTTAAATTATAATTTAAATTTATAAATTTAAATGGTGCACTAACTCGCCATGACTGAGGGTTAGGGGTATTCACAAATACCTTAATGTATATATACATTGATTATAATTTGTTCTAAAAAATTTGTCACTGGGAGAGTGCGTCAGGCGTGTCCTTCGCCTCTCTCACCCATGATGGTAGTCAATAAAAGGAATAGTTTTTATTAGTCAAATGGTCCTATAGACCAGACAATTCTATATTTTCTTAATCTAGGGTGACAACCGTATTTCTTTCTATCTTTAGTTGATCACTGTTGTCAACTTCTATTATCTCATAGCCTAACCTACCTACAGAATGTGTACATATGAATTTAAATTAATAACATTTCTTTAATAATCGTTTGTTACCAGCCTCAAAGAGAATGAATGCTGACAACTAGGAATCTACATCTCACTTTATCCTTATGGGGTATCTATTCACACTTGACATCTTAGTATCCCATCTGTACCTGATTTCTTGTTCTAAAAACTCTCTGTTATAAGCTACTTCTCAGCCCCTTTTTTTATTGTTTTTACACATAACGGTTTTTTTATAAAATTATAAATTTCTGTATATATAAATTTTTAATCGGTGGAGCATGTAGAACATCTTCTCAGAATCGCAAGCCTTACTTCTCACAAACATTTATTATAATATGTACATATAATGTAATCTTATCAGTTTGTTATTTTCGGGAAAATAAGGCCCCACGTTGGGTGCCACTGTAAAGCTTATTGTAAAGGCTATTTTTTGTCGTTATTTAAAACCAAGTTCCCGATATACCTTTTAATAGAAATCGTAAGATATATACCTTTAAGCCCAAGAAATGCTAACTCAGAAAATACCTATTCATAGTGATTATGGTATAATTTACTTTGTAATAGATATCATCATATTGAGTGATTTAATGATTACATTTATAGTTGTTACAATGCGAAATTTTTTTAATACATTGTGGTTGGATTACTAAGATTGCATTTAGTACTAGTGTGTAACCAAAATTAGAGTTAGTTCTAAAGATTACTTCCTAAATGATCATAGTATTGTATAATCCAGAAAGAAAATTTCAGGTACATGTCCTAGGTTTATCTTATATGGCGTAGTTTAAATTTAAGGTCAACCTAGAATTCTATTACTTATACCTGATTTATCCTAAAGTAACTCTACAAGGACATATATTTATGTAACTAATTCACCATCGACATACTGTTCGCATATTATATATTATTTAAATTTGAATACCTAAAAAAAATGTGCCACTCAATAAAAAGAAATAAAGGTGTAGATTATCACATGAAAACTAGAATCACATACACAAGGATTTATTTTATCTTATAACAAGAGTACAGAATTTCTCCTTATGGAGGAAATTGTTAATGCATAATAGTTTATAAATGATTAATCTAATAAAATACTATACAAAATGCAGGCTATATAGACATCAAAAGGCGAAATCCAAGCATTGAGCTAATATCTCTAAATATATATAAAAGTCAATGTCTGTCTGTTTCGCGATAAACTCAAAAACTACTGAACCAATTGGTACCAAATTTTGCATGTCGCTTTCTAAAAACCTGAGTGAAATTTTCGGCTACATTTTGATTAGTATTTTTGGCTATTTCTTTTTTTCATTTGAAGAACTTTTTTTTACGCAGAGTAATCCGGAATGGAATAAATACCCAAATATGGCCATTTTATAAGCATCGGTGGTTCAGTGGTAGAATGCTCGCCCGCCGCCCTCGCCGGGTTTGATTCCCGGCCGATGCATTTTTTTTTTACAATTTTTAAAACTCATTTATATTATATATAATATAAATATATATTATTATATATATATATCAACTATATTAATTTAATCAAATACCTAAACACTAATATAAAACAATTTTTGCCATCACACACACTTTTTTCCTGTAGTTTAAATGTTACTTCTGTATTGCTATTCTATGGTCATTCTAATATTTATTATTGATGTACTTTCAGTATGAAGGAAATTGCAATCGGGGGAATTCTCGGGCGAAGCCGGGTTATACGTCTAGTTAATGTATATTAATCAATTGCCCTATCCATTATACTCGTAAAAAAAAGAAACTTATATTGAACATAGGAAATTTTAATCTACCTATAAAACAAAGCATACATATATATAGATAGAGAAATTCTGATTATTCAAGCAGAGTTCTTAAAGGTTTTAAGAGACATAATGAAGATAAATTGGTAATAACGATTCATCCAATAACCGTGGGCTGTTGCGCCCTCATGAAATTATTATATAGACATGTTTCCCCCCAAAACGAAACTTACGTTCCAAAAGTCGAGCCTCCGGGCGGATACTAAGAGCCTGTTCACTGATCGACTACCTAGCCAAGACTGATCATCTTCTACCGCGCTAATCGCAGGAAAACCTGTTTTGTGGTAAAAAAAATATTTTACTCTTCCACCGAGTAATTCTCTTTCTTAGAATAATTAATTAATTAAATATCGAATTTATTCTTCTAAAAAAAGATAATTTATTATTTCTTTAGATAATATATATATAAATTACCAATTTAATTTTATCTTTTGGGTAAATGAAATTAAATCAAATTCATAGTTAGGGAAATAAATAAAGTGCCCTTTTAATATTCTGGCTTTAAATATTCAATGTTAAAATGATAAAATTATTTTAAAAAATAATAAAATAATATTTAAGATTAATAAAATAAATCTAAATCTATTGAAATGAATAGGATTAGCCTTTGCCTTACACAATCCGATAGTAATATAGGAATAATGAATTATCCTATTTAATTCTAAATGAACCCTATAGCCCTGCAGTATAAAATATTAAGGAAATAGAGCAGGAGTTTATGTACAAATTGAATTTTGACATTTGTAAATATGTACATAGTCGCCAGCTCCAGGGGATCTCGTAGCTGCTTCCTCAGCTCTGCTAGTGGACTTTTAGGGTACTCCCGCTGCGTTCGATTCTACTTCTGGACAGCAAAAGCTTCGGAAAGGTTACTGTGCATATTATATATGATGTTTACATCATTGTTGGGTTGTTATGGAAAATGGACCCAACAAGGGTAGGCTCCAGCTTCTGGTTGAGGGCAATTCTTTCTTTTCTCATGGATTGATGCAAGACGATGTTACGCATAAAATTGTAAACTTCTTCCTGGAGCTCTTTTTCTTTGGGAAAATGACCTTGAAGCGGCTGTCTTGATAGGGCATCAGCGGTGATTAGATCTTTCCCCCATGTATGAAAGATATGAAACGAGAACTGAAGCATCCTCATACAGTACCATTAAAGCATTGGCGTTAGATCGTTCAGAACTTTAGTGGTGAAGATGGGGACTAAAGGTTTGTGATCTGTTTCGATGAGGAAGGATTTCCAACCACAAAGTCCTTGAAGCGCTCACACGCCCATGTGATGGCAAGGGCTTCCTTCTCTATTTGGGCGTATCCCTGTTCCGTCTTCGTCGTCCATGCTGCAAAGGCCACTGGGCGCCACTCCTTAGCTTCATGCTCTTGCTTGAGGGCAGCTTCCAGGCCATAAGATGATCGGCTGAGACGATGGTTGTTTTAGAGATGTCAAAGCTTGGCAGAACTCGATCACTGGCCAGAACGTCTTTGACTTTTTGAATGTTTTTTTTTCTGTGGTGAACCCCAGATGAAACACATCTTTCTTTCTTAGGTCGTTTAGCGGAGTTGGGCCGTTTTTCACCAAACGAGCCCAACAAAGATGTAAACATCTTATATCCCAAATTTGCAATGCCCTGCCGAAGTCTTTGTTGTCCAGAGGAATGACCTGGACTAGCGTTGAGCTTCCTGTACTCCGAAGCCCGCAGCAGTAATGGTGTACATAGTGTAAATATGTACCATAAATAAAATTTTGTATATACCATACTTCATTCCTTTTCCTTTTATATTGTGGAAAATTAAAAGCCATAGGATTTCTTAAATTACCACTTTGAAATTTATTAAATGTATTTAATAAATTAAATATATTTGATAAATTAGGTATATCAAGGATAGCAATAGAAATTTTCAGAAAAAATTACTGCATTAAAATTCTCATGGATCATCTCTATTTTTATTTTATTAATTATTAATTAAAATTATTTTTTAAGGATAAGTTTTATTTTATTTTGAAATTATTCTGCGAAAGAATATATTTACTCACTCTGTAAAAAGAGATAAAAAAAATGTTGGGTCACACGGGTTTTTAAAGAAAAAAGTAGGTGGAAAAACGGTCGTTGAGAAGAACGGTGGGAAGCGGGGACCTGACGGTTGAATCGTGAAAGATTTGTGAGTATATATATAAACCTGGAAGATAAGCGAAAAATCCTGCTGAAATTAATTCATGTGGGCTTCAAGCCCTTTTATTGAATAGAAATATTTAAAAAATTTCCCTCGGATTTAATAAGTTTTCTTTTTTTAGGTATAGCATCTTAAAGTTTTTGTAGAGGCTTAATCTTGTCTACATAACAGGTCTTGAACTTTATTTTAGATGTGTGACTTTGCAAAAATCTCCTATTATCGATTCATATATATATGTCGATGAAATTAGAAGCAGAAATTTGCTTAAGAAAGGTATTTTTTTAAACTTTTTTTTTTTTTTTTTCGTGACTTAGAAAAATTTCTGCCTCTATTACTAATTGCCTTCTGGTGGACGGTTGATTAAAAATTTTGGATATAGTAAATTCCACATATTTATATACTTTGATGTGTGTCTGTAGTATCTCATACTGAAATATATATATATTGAACAAATTTGTTAAGGTTGTCATTCATTCAATGGTTCTCCTTTAGGCGATCCCACTTATAAAACAAATACATATGTCTATACCTAAACAAAAATGTTAAATATGCTGGTTAGCTTCAAAGCGTTTTTTTTTTGTTGGTATGATTTGTATCGGGTAGATTAAAACTCCATATATATATAAATAAACATCAAGATACGTATGTATGTGTATGTAGAAAATTTAATATGGTTAGTAATTTGAGTAGCCCATTTCTTCATTCTAGGATGTTTATTATATAAATAAGTATAAATATATTTATACATGCATATATCTTGATCTTTCTATGTTTGTAAGGGGTAACTTTACAACAGGAACCTAAAAAGTTGTAAGGGTGATAGTTGAGTCAGCCCCAAAAATCCTTTATACAAATGTAAGATTCTCATATGTTGAGTTTATAAAAAAAAACTTTGGACTAAAGGTCAAATGTCACTATTATTTTATTTTTCTTGATCCACTTTAGGGTTTATCCTTAATACTATATTGTGATATGGAGAGTTAGATCTCATTATAGATGGAATTTTATTTCATTTCTAAATTTCTAGATTAGAATACATTTGCATATGATTTAAACGAAGTTTTTAAGCGTTTATAATTCTATTAACCTTATGTTGGTTATTTTTTGCTTTTGTGTTTGCCATTGTGTGTTTTAACATTTCCTCCGACATTTCCAATATTATTAGAAATCTTTTCGAAGTGCATCAGATTTAGATATACATCGTTTGAAGCCACAAGTAAAGTAGATTATATATCGTTAGAAGGAGCCGAGCCTAACAGTAGCGGACCAACGTGGGGCATGAAATTTCCCGAAAATTACAAATTATCTAAATATGTAAGAAGTAAGGCCTACAGCCCTAAGAAACTAATAGCTATACCGGAAAAATACTGACGACTTTTCATTAGATAGTTTTTTTTCTTCTTTATAGAAATTTGAAATTTTAAAATAATATTATTAGCCTAAATGCCTTTTTTTTCTTTTCCTTTGATTTTCTTTTTAGAATATCGAAATTTTATTTAACTAATATTATCAACCTAAATAAATATCGATGCCTTTCCTTTGATTTTATTTAACTGGATATCGAAAAATTAAAATAATATAATTATCCTTTGTGTTTATTTGTGTTTTATAGCAAACTAGGTCTCTAGACTTTATTTAATCTTCAAAAATATTGCCATTTTTTTGGTTTTTCACACATGAAGCCCTGGGTTGTTTACCACAACTCGAGATAAATTTAGCTGCCCAAGAGACATTTTGATTGACAGTTGAGGCTATTCTCACACACCTTGGGGAATTGCACACATCTGTAGGAGGAAAAGCAACCCTAGCAGGGAGAATCCCTGAAAATAACTTTGCCAGATGTGAATACTCTAGGCGGGAATTCTGAGAGCCAATGAGATCAGTCAACGCTTAGTTTTCAAACCGAAAAGGTGGGTCTCTAGCTAGCTCCCCTTGCATGCCTCTCGCGTTTGCGAGAGGGTTTCACTCTAAATTATTTCATCCTCTTTTAAACTTTCATAGTTAACCCTCTTTTAAGAGCCTTTTTATCTATTGAATTTAATCAGTATTAATGTTTATATCAATTTTACATATTCACGGGCCTATTACTTTTAATTTTTTAGTAATTGTTGTGTATAAAAGTGGGCCTTGTATTTGAAATGATAAGGTATGGGTTGATTTTAAATGTTTTAATTATCTAGGAATGAGATTACATAATATAACACACAATAAAAATAAAAGTATATACTTGAGGTGTGTGACATCAAAGGTGGTAAACAATGGAAAAAAGCTTATTCGATTACATCTTATATTTACAACACAACGTTGTCGAATCTATTTCTAACATTATTAAAAATATATAACAGTAATTCAATTGTTTATTTTGATATTTTATTTTTCGCAAGGATATTTAGCTTATTAGAATAAGCATGAATTCAGAGCTTTTCTGCTATTTATTTAAAGATGTATAGGCTATATAATGTTTT